ATGGACATCTTGGCTCTTTCCATAGTTTGGCTATTGTGGACATTGCTGCTATAAACATCGGGGTGCATGTACCCCTTCGGATGCCTACATTTGTATCTTTGGGGTAAATACCCAGTAGTGCTATTTCTGGGTCGTAGAAATGTCATAAACTCTTATTAATTCTAATAGATTTTATTGGAGTGTCTTGAGATTTCTAGGTGTACAATTACATCACATACAAATAATTTTTAAATTTCACATGTATTACATATACATGATACATTTTACTTTCCTACATGACTATAATAACTACAGCTTCTAAAACAAAGTTTAATAATATAGTGATTACAGGCTTGCCTATCTTGCCTCCAACTGTAATAGAAATGATTCAACATGTCATGATTCATTGTGACACAGCTGCCTTTTGATAACTGGTTTTTATCATGTTTAATTAGTTTCCTCCTATTTATATTTTAATCCATTTTAAATTTAACTAGGAATGTCTGAAGTACTGTATCAAATATCTCCTTGGTATTCATGGAAGCAATCATATGGGTTTACTCCATTAAACAGTTCATGTAACTAATTATGTTAATAGAATAAACTCTGCTTTGCATTATACAGTTTGCTAACATTTTATTTAGACTTTTCCCCTCTGTACTTATAATAGGAATTGATCTAAGTAAAACTGAAAGTATTCTAAGTAATATATCAACTGGTCAGGGGTTTCATCTATTTCATTTCTCTGTTAAAATTATATATAATCAAATTACATATATATATTCAAATTACATTTATTCAAATCATACATATATATGTACATATGCATGTCCATATGCACAAAGACACATACTTTCTCCCTCATTTGTATTTAATTGATTTTGGCTTTTCTTTTTATTGGTTCATACTGTCTACATTTTTATTTTGTTTTCCTGTTGTTAATTATTTAAACTGAATATTTATTTTAGGAGCACCAGGAAACCAAATGCTCTGGACAATCCTCCCCCCTTTTTTTAAAAACAGGTTCCATGGCCAGCATGGAGCCCGTTACAGTACTAGAATTCACGACCCTGAGATCATAACCTGAGCTGAAACCAAGAATCAGACATTTAACTGACTGAGCCATCCAGGTGCCCCTATAATATCAGTTTTATTTTCTTCTGGATATGAGGTTATTTGAAATGGTATATATTTATTTCTCAAGTTTCCATGATATTTTTCTTTCACATTGTAATTCTGTATTTGGGATAAGAATATAGTCTGTAAAATCATCCCCTTTTGAAATTTATGAAGGTTTTCTTTGTGACCAAGTATATGATAGCTGTGGAAATTGTTTTAATAAGTTCAGGGAAGAATATATTTTATCAATATCTATCTAATATATTGTTATTCTTGTGTGTATGCATATGTATATCCTATATACATCTATTAAGTTTCTAATTATATTTGTGTGTGCTTAAAATAGTACCTGATAAGTAATAAGTACAATGTATCTATTAAAAGATATGTTTTTCACAACTTTTCATTGTATTTCTAGGAGTTTTTGATTTATGTATTTGATTGCTATGTAGCATGATCCATAAAGATTCATGACTACTGTATTTTCTTCATAGATTTTTATCATTTTTCATTATATAATACCTTTTCACTTAGTTAACGCTTTTGGTCTTGAATTCCTCTTTATCTGATATCATTAATGCCACTCCAGTTTTTTTGTTGTTTGTATATGCCTGCTGTATACTCATCCCTTTATTTCAATTTTTCTTTAAATGATTGTTTTATTATGTTCTCATAATTAACATATGGCTCATCTTTGTTAAAATCCAATTTTGGGGTGCCTGGGTGGCTCAGTCGTTAAGCGTCTGCCTTCGGCTCGGGTCATGATCCCGGGGTCCTGGGATGGAGCTCCGTGTCGGGCTCCCTGCTCAGCGGGGAGCCTGCTTCTCCCTCTCCCGCTCCCCCTGCTTGTGTTCCC